CACGTATCGTTGGAGAGAAATGGCTTCGCAGGTATAGCCACCCTTAACTGAAAAGGAACTAGCTGACTAGTTTGTTGATACCGTGAGACTAGAGTTCTATGAAAAGTTTATCAGCAGTGTGTCTGCTAACTTCTCCAATATTGTGGCTGAGGGAGTTAAAGTCGAGCTTGGTATGAAGGATGAAAAGATGACTAGTGGATTCGGTAGCTCAAACAACATCAGTAACAATGCAAAGAAATTCTCCAACAGTTTCCATAAGGAAAATGAGGGAGAAACCAATGTTGTGATGTCAAGCAGAAAGTCAAAATTTTTTTGGAAGCATCACCAACAACCACATCAGAGCTATGTTTAACATTCTGTTTATCATGTTCAGTACCCTTAGCAACCATATATGGCCGCCGTCACCCCTACATTCAATAATTAAGCTCCTGTGCATCCACCTGTACCACAAGCACCTATTTACCAGCCGACATAACAACAACCAACCTATCAATAAGTGCCCAACACCCCTGCATATCAGCAACAACAAAGGACCCAGACTCTTCGTTAGAATGTTCCATACAGAAGGCAGAATGTGAAACCTCATATTCCTCATATTCCAATGACCTATACTGAGCTGTACCCTTCATTAGTGCAACAAGGTTTGATAACTACAAGGCCTTTAGGTTTGCCTCCTGATCTTCTTCCACATTTTTACAACCCAAATGAGCATTTTCCGTTTCACGAGGGCACACCAGGTCATAATTTGGAAGGGTGTTTTTCCTTGAAGCATATTGTAAGGGAATTGATGGAGAAGAAGATTATGCCTTTTGGTGACTCTCAGCCAAATGTTAAGAACAATCCTTTACCCACCCATGGGATAATTAATGTTGTTGAAGATGCATCCTATGAGACTTTGATTCTTGATGTTGCTAAGATTAGGACCCTGCTCCGAGCTTTTCATACGAAGTTGGTAGAAGCTGGTTTGATTATAGACTGTCATTCAGAATGCGAAGATTGTGCTAGTGACCCTAAAGGATGCTTTTTGGTTCAGAAAGATATTTAGAATTTAATTGATAGTGGACTCCTGCAAGTGGGTAGCAAGGTGAAGAGATATGAGGTGTCAGTGATCGAAACCATCTTTAATTTTCCTAAACCGAATGATAAAGTGCTAATTTTCAACTTTCCTAAATCAAGTTCTGCAAAGCCTGTTTTCAATATGCCGAAGCCAATTTTCAACATTGCAAAGCCTGTTGATCCACCAGTCAGTAAGCCAAGACCAATGATTATTCAAAAACACAATCCATTCCCCTTCGAACATACTAAAGTTGTGTCGTGGAAATATGATGTAACGGTAATTGATCAGGAATCTGGGAAGGTTATTCAGAAAGAAGATGTGAAGAGTGTTCATGAAGATGTGACAAATATTGTTGGGGCAAGCAAGATGACCTGTAGTGGTCGTATCTATCAGCCCAAAGTGAATGAAGTTTCACTAAAAGAAACCACTGTTGTTGTACCTGCTAAGGATAAAGAGGTAGTTTTGAATGATGAAGATGCATAATTCTTAAGAATCATCAAAAAAATGACTATAAGGTTATTGACCAGCTTCACTAGACACCTTCAAAAATCTCTATCCTATCTCTCCTGATGAGCTCTCCCGCACATAGAGTTGCTTTGTAGAAGCTGTTGGATCAGGCCCATGTTACTCAGGATATTACAATCGGCCAATTTGATATTGTAATTGCAAATATAACTGCTTGTAACACCCTTAGCTTCAGCAATAAGAGTTACTAAGAGAAGGTCCAAATGACAACCGTGTGTTGCATGTGCCTGTGAAATTTCAAGAAGACGTTATGGCTAGAGTATTGGTTGATACAAGTTCATCTTTGAATGTTCTTCCTAAGAGAACACTTGCAAAGATTGCATACAAAGGAGTAGAAATTAGGCATACGTCATTGATTGTCAAGGATTTTTATGGCTCTCGAAGAACTGTAACTAGGGAAGTAGAGTTGCCAATTTTAATTGGGCCACATGTCTTTGATATCACGTTCCAGGTGATGGATATTAACCCAACTTACAGTTGTTTGTTAGAAAGGCCGTGGATTCATGTTGCGGGCGTTGTAACTTCCATATTACATCAGAAGATGAAGTTTGCTGTCAATGAAAAGTTCGTAATCGTTCATGGTGAGGAGGATTTAACGGTGAGTAATTTGTCTTCATTCAGGTATATCGAGGCTGACGAGGACGTGTTGGAAACTTCTTTCCAAGCGCTCGAGATAGCCAACGTGTTCTGTCGGAAATCGAGGAATCGGTGGTTAAAAACGGTCCATCTTTTGCATCTGCCCAGAGTATAAGGTCAACTATCAATGAAGGAACTTCTGTAGGCTGGGGATAGATCATTAAAGTGAAGATGAAGCTGGACCGCCACGGGTTAGGTTACAAACCAACTCATAATGGAGCATCAACCTCTGCTAAAGGACATTCAAAGGCTATCCGAGAGGTATTCATCAGTAGAGGATTCCAAATCAACACCGTTAATGAAGACATTGAAGATGAAGACGTGAACCATTTGGTGTTTCAATGTGATGTCGCATTAGACAATTGGGAAGCAATAGAGATCCCAGTGATTTTTCCTTTACCAAAGTAATTTGTTTGTCTTTTGATTTTGTTTTCAAAAATTCCATGGCTATGCCCAGAGCTATTAGATTACTTTGTAGGGTCCCATGCTTTTAAAATTTTTATAATCAATGAATACATTTTGTTAAATTCTCGTTGTTTCATTTACTATTTTTTTGCTTTTACTTTTAAAAGAAAATGGCAATCTACCAAATCTACAAAAAAAAATTATCTTGCATTTTTCTTTGTGCTTTTAATAAATCAAATCATTCCAAACATGCAGAAGTATCCCAAACTCTGTTGAATCCAAAGATCCTGCTTTCACTCCTGACTTTGATTCACCCATCTACTAAGCTGAAGATGAGGATGATGAAGATTATGAGGTTTCCAATTAAATGGCAAAGATGGTTGAGTATGAGTATACAGATCTTCAGCCCCATAAGTAGCAGGTGGATGTCATTAATCTTGGGACTGATGAAGAAAATAAAAAGGTCAAAATTGGTATTATACTTAAGGAAGAAATCAGACAGAGATTGGTGAAACTTCTAGAATAATATGTTGATGTATTTGTGTGTTCGTATCAGGATATGCCCGATTTAGACACAAACATAGTGGTTCATAAATTTCCGCTTCGACCAGAATGCCCGCATGTGAAACAAAAGCTCCGAAGGACTAGACTGAACATGGCTCTGAAAATTCGTGATGAAGACAGCTCGACACAGGTTTTTGGACAGTATCAAAGTATCCTGAGTGGGTGGCCAACAATGTGCCTCTGCCGAAGAAGGATGGTAAAGTCCGAATGTGTGTAGATTACAGGGATTTAAATAAGGCGAGTCCAAAAGATGATTTTCCTCTGTCACACATATTGACACTCTTGTGGATAATACCGCTCACTTTGCAGTTTTCTTATTCATGGATGGTTTCTCCGGTTATAACTAGTGTAAGATGGATCTCGATGATATGGAAAAGACTACATTTATCACTCCTTGGGAACCTATTGTTATAAGGTTATGTTCTTTGGTCTGAAGAACGCATGGGCGACATATCAAAGGGCGATGGTCACTCTTTTTCACGACATGATGCAGAAGGAAATTGAGGTGTGCGTCAATGATATGATTGTTATGTCTCAAAGAGAAGAGGATCACTTGGATCATCTGTTGAAACTTTTTAAACGACTCAGGAAGTACCAGTTGAGGCTGAACCCTGCAAAGTGTACCTTTGGTGTTAGATCTGGAAAATAACTTGGTTTTATCGTTAGTCAGCGAGGAATCGAGGTGGACCCTGATAACTTGGTTTTATCGTTATCCAAGAAATTCCAGCTCCACAGACTGAGAAACAAGTCAGAGGCTTTCCTGGACGCCTGAATTACTTTTCCAGTTTTATTTTATTTTTGAATAAGTTTTTTTCTTATTTATGTATAATTTTGAATTTTTTTTTATAATTAGTTTTAAGTGTTAGATAACTAAAATTTAACAGTTTTAAAAAATGTTTTCAACATTTAACATAATTAATTAAACATAAAAATAAATTTAAATTGTTCAAAAATTAAAATTATCCTAACATCACAACATTATATATTTTTATTTGTTTTGGCTTGTTTCTACCCATCATATTTTTCAACAAATTTAATTTTTCTTTATAAATTTCCTCCTAAAATTTTAACTAAAATTTAAATAAATAAATTATAAATGAAACCTTTTGTATTTTCTCAATAAGTAAATGCATGAGCACCCACGTCACACATGGTCTTACTAGCATCACAAATTCCTAATTAAGTTTTTCACAAGACAAAACAAATTACACACCACCTTGCCCACACTTTCAAAATCAATAAAATAATTAAAAGGTTTGGCTAGTTAAACTTGATTCATCTTCTTTTTCAGTGAACAACAACAGAGTCATAGTGAGTGAAAAACATGTCTCTTAAATTGAAAAACAAAAGTCATTCTTCAAGTTTCTCTTCATCTTTAAAAACATTACTATGCTTCTACAATAAAATGATAGAAAATAGCTGATGCGGTTAGATGCGGTCTGTTGCAGTTTAAACACCGTTATAATGCGTTATTTACTTACTCTTCCGTTCCGGAGGTGATGCGGTAAGTGTGATTTCTGTTCACACCGTAATTGCGATCTGTTGCCTATGTGTTGTTGACCGTAACTGCAATATTACGACCACATTTTGCTATGTTGTCCGCAATTTAAAATCATTGCTTATAGATTAGTTAGTTTTCATGATATTCTAAGGCATAAATCTAAAGATTACTCCATCGGAAAAGGTTAAATTTGCAAATTGAAAACAAATATGTATTATAGATAGCATTACAATACAGAAAGAAGGAGCAAATGAACCTCCAAATTCAAATACACTTCGATGAAAACAAGATAAAATTGTAATACCTTAAGGATTATTGCTTAGAGGAAGGGATGTGCAATTCCACATGATTAACAAACTCATCTATATATTTTTGGTGCATCTTCTTGTCTCCAACTATCTTCCTCATCTCTTCAGCTTTACTCCTATAACCCTTTCCTTCCTCCTCTACCATCACCAATCTTAATGCTTTCGCCACTGAATCCCTACTGAATTTCTCATCATTTCTCTCTACCTTTACCCCAACCATTTTTTCTTCCATAAGTCTAGCATTTATACCTTGATCAGTAATGAAAGGTAACATAATAAGTGGACACCCAACTTGAAGACTCTCAATCACTGAACTCCAACCGCAATGTGTCAAGAATCCTCCAATTGACTCATGTGATAAGATTCTCAACTGTGGTGCCCAATTATTCCAAATCAATCCATTCTTATTTGAATCATTCTCAACAAACCAATCATGTTTATCATGGTTCTTCAAAATCCAAAGAAAAGGAAAACTAGATAATTCCAATCCTTTAGCTATCTCAGTAAGTTCTTCATCACTTAATATCACTTCAGTTCCAAATGCAACATAAACCACTGACTTTTTTTCCTGTTTATCCAACCACTTTAGTATTGTATCCCAATTTTCATCCTTTTCCTCTTCACTGAATTCTAGTGATGGTGGCAATAATCCAACTGGTTTCACTTTTTTCTTGCTTTGGTTTTCAAGTGATTTTAAAGACTGACCTTCAATCTCCATGCAACTTCTTACAGCAATAAAATCAGCACCAAAAAGAGTTTCTTTCATCCTAAAGATATCGGAAACACCAGATTCATTTGGTTCAAAGTAAACAGAAACAACAATTTTGTCCTTGTTTTCTGCCTCCTGAGCCCGAACTAAAAAATCTACTCCAAAAGACATAGTAAATGCATTAAAAGTAGAGAAATAGATGCTTAAGATGCCAAGCTTTGATGTTATTGGTGGTAACCAATAAGGTGCAAAGTCATATATGATGCAGTCAGGAGTGGATGTTTTCAGAAATTGAGTCAAAGGTTGTTGAAGACCATCAAATGCTTTCTTGAGATATGGAACAATATGTTGTGGAATGTCCGCAGTGGCTTCTACATTTTCAGGAAGTTGATCTATGTGGGGAAGTGGGAGTTCCACAAAATTGAAGAAAGGTTGTAAATTTGGAGGAATTTGAGGGAGACGTTTGATGTTTGTAGGTGTGGAAATGAATGAAATATTGTGACCCTTTTGAGCAATGAGTTTAGAAAGCTCGAGAAAAGGACTAATATGTCCAAAAGCAAGCCATGGAAAAACAGCAATGTGAAGAAACTTCTTAGGCTTATCTTCCATTGGTGTTTAAGATATGGTATATAGCATAATTTAATTATATAGACACAAGTTGAGTGGATTGATATTTTGATTGGGCAGTAGTAGAAGGATATTGCTGGCTAAAACTCGCACACAAATTTACATATCAAAATATCAGTGAACATGTGGTGTGGTGTTAATGAGGGGTAGTGAAGGTCTATTCTGTTGGACCATTATTGAGTTAATGATATTTGGATTGGGCAGTGATGCCCCCTACATGAATCTAATTTCCTATTTTGTCTTAATCAGTTGTAATTCGTTTTGGTACACGTCATAATGTGAGGGATATACGTTAGACTTAGGGGTGGTAATTGAATATATTAAACTAAAATCTATCAAATCCGTCCAACCAATTTGAAAAATTCATTGATTTTGTTTTTATAACAAAATACTTAAACTAAATTCTGTAACAATTAAAATAAAAATAATTTATTTTTTTATTTTATATATTTCCAATATTTTTATATTTTCGAAAAAAATTTGATTGAAAAAAACTCAATTTTTTTATATTTTTCAAAAAATTCAACTTTTTTTTTGTATATTTTTGAAAAAATTTGACTTTTTTTATTTTTTCGAAAAAATTCGACTTTTTCATTTTTTTCGAAAAAACTCAATTTTTTCTATTTTTGAAAAAACTCGACCTTTTCATATTTTCGAAAATATCGACTTATCCATATTTTCGAAAAAAAAAACTCTACTTTTTTCATATTTTTGAAAAAATTTGAATATTTCATATTTTCGAAAAAATTCAAAATTTTCATATTTCCAAAAAATCTCGACTTTTTAATATTTCCAAAAAGACTCAACTTTTTCATATTTCAGAAGAAAAAAAATCTCAATTTTTTCATATTTTCGAAAAAAACTCAAATTTTTGTATTTTTGAAAAAACTCGATTTTTACATATTTTCGAAAAAAACTCAACTTTTTCATATTTTCGAAAAAACTCGAAATTTTCATATTTCCGAAAAAAACTCGACTTTTTCATATTTTCGAAAAAACTCGACTTTTTCATACTTCCGAGAAAACTCGACTTTTTCATATTTATGAAAAAAAACTCTACTTTTTTTATAATTCCGAAAAGAATTTACTTTTTCATATTTTCGAGAAAATTCGACTTTTTCATATTTTTGAAAAAACTCGACTTTTTTCATATTTCCGAAAAACTCGACTTTTTTTATATATATATAAAAAATTCAGTTTTTTGTATTTCTAAAAAGACTCAACTTTCTCATATCTTCGAAAAAACTCGACTTTTTCATATTTTCGTAAAATCTCGACTTTTTTCATATTTTTCTAAAAACTCGACTTTTTTATATTTTCAAGAAAACTTGACTTTTTTCATATTTCTGAAAAAACTCGACTTTTACATATTTTCAAAAAAAAAACACAATTTTTTTATATTCCCGAAAATACTCAATTTTTTGTATTTTTGAAAAAACTCGACTTTTTAATATTTCCAAAAAAAATTTGACTTTTTCATTAATACAATACAACTGGCATTGAAGCTTTAAGCGTGTGGGACCGATATTAATAACTATCTAAGCTTTAAGCGTGTGGGACCGATATTAATAACTATCTATGGTTATATATATTAAATTTAAAGTGAAGGGTTATATCACTATACATCTTAACACATCTATCTCATTTTTACTTTTTAGATTTTTTTTTTCTATTGGAGTTCACAAATTCAAACTTTACCAACAAAAAAACAAATCATTTTTAAAACAATGAGGTAATAAGACAACCACTATTTACTATTTATATTTTTCTTAATTTCAAAATTAAAATCAAATGTGAATCTAAAACTAAAATTAACTCTATGTGTTTTTTATGAAAGTATACAAAAATGAACACTTAAAATAAATAGTTTTAATTTCAAAGTAGTTAAAGTAAAAAATATATTAAAATAATAATTAGTTATTAACTTATATAAATATATTCTTTTCATAAATTTTATAGAATAAAATTTATATTTGCCTTGAGATAATTACTAATTTTAATATATTTAGTTAATATTGTTTCTTTAAAATAATTTTAGTTTTATTTTAATTTTAAAATATTAAAATGTATAATACTTTTCCTCATTCCATTTATATCAACTAATATATAATAAGTTGGTTGTTTATTTTAATGTTTGATTTTGGGACCACATTGAAAAAAAATTAAAAGGATATAATACATATAAGAATTTCATTGAATAGTGATGAATTACTCGAGATTCAATTCATTAAACTAATTTATTCTTATTTGAAAAAAGTATTGTTAAGAAAATAAATTTCATATTGATTTTGAAAAAAAAAATTAACAACATAAGAGTTACTTCAACAAAGTATATTATATCGAATTTCAAAAATATGTTATAATTAAAATAATTTATATGTATATAATATATTAAATTTGAAGCAAAAGATTATATCACGACACATGGTAGCATTTGTACTTCATTTGTGCCACATCATCCATAGTTTTATGTAGAACCTCTCAATACTCATTTTATTTTTTCAAAAAAAAAAAATACAATATTTTTTCTCTATTAGAGGTCACAGATTCGAACCTCAACAAAGACAAAAAAAAGATATTATTTTTAATAAAATAATGTGACAAAACAACCACGATTTCAATTATATATATTCTTCTAAATTTCAAATTTAAAATTGACATGTGAATCTAAAAACTAAAATTAAGACTAAGTTACTAAATTAGATAAATATTGTTGTTGTGATAATCAAATATCAAGCTATTAATTAACTTAGATCACAAATCATGAAATTCACCACCGAACTTTGATTTATCCAAAGAAAAAAGGTAAAGATCGAAGAAAACCCTAAGTGCGCTATGTAGCAACAAAGCTAAGAGAATCTAAGGTTCGGGGTTGGTTATACTTATGAAAGGTGTTAGTATCCTAAGTATTTGTAGTACTCTAAAGGAACCTCTTGTTAGTATTTGTGTTATGCTATAGTTTGCTTGCTAAGGGAACTATGTTAAGGTAATGACATAGGGTATATACAAAGTATGTTCGCCAAGACATTGCTTATTGTGCCTACGTATACTAACTAGGATGGAATCAGAGCATTTGTAGTTCACCTAACTAGAGGTGAGGAACTCTTGATAATGATCAAGGTTCCAAGGGGGAAGTAAGGGTTCATAATCTAGACACTTACATCAAGTGCAGCGACTCCAAACCTAAGGCTAGATCAACAAGGAAAGTAAGTGTTCATAACCATGGCACTTATATGGAGTGTGGTGACTCCAATCTTAAGGCTAGGGTGAAGGGAAAGGTAAACGCGTCTCGATCGCGCGGTGGCGAGGGATACAAGTTGATTGAATAGGGGCAATTGTAACTGTAACACCCATTTTAATTATTTAGTCTTTCGGTGTTATTTTATTTTGGTGTGTCCTTTGTGTGAGGGTGTGTCTGGGAGTGTTGGTGGGTACCCTTAAGTTATGGGGATTATTTAATAAAATATAGAGTTTAATAATAATATAATATAATTAATAATGATGATAATCTAATAATTAGTAATATTATTATTATTATTATTATTATTATTATTATTATTATTTGCATTATTATTATTATTTGTATTATTATTATTATTAATGAAATGAGGATTAAAAAGGGGTATAAGAAGAGTTTGGGGAAAAGGAGAGAGTTAGAAACACGATAAGTCAATTTTAGAGAGAAGATCAAAGGGGAAGAACAAGAGGAAGAGAAGAAGGCTAGGGCTAACGATTTTTCAGGTTCTTCGTCAATCGAAGCATTAATCGAGGTAAGGGGGGAGAAACTGATTAGGATTGGTGTTTACATGAAATTGGGTAAAGGGGATTCCTTAACCCCGTAGGGATTTGATGAATATGTTTGTTATGTTGGTATGTCTTTGATTGTTGTTGATTATGATGAATTGTGTATGCATGTTGATGTGTTTATGATTGTTGCTGCCATTGATGAATGGGTGCACATATGATGTGATTTTGGTGAGGTTCTGAGTAACTTTTGTAGTTCTGATGATGGACATAGGTGTGGATTCTGGAGATGAATTTATAGAATAAGGACTAGAGTGGTGTGTACTGGTTGTAGTGGGGATATGATGGGAGATGGAAGTAGAGTGATAGGCTTAGAATTGAGCAAGAGGACATTGTTGGACAATGAGGGTTTTAAGAGATCGCAGACGCTCGCTAGCACCTTCGCTAGGCGAGCTAGTTGCGAGCACTCGCTAGAAGGTTCACTAGGAGAGTGAGGTAGCGAACCCTTCCAGTAGCTACTGTCTGCCTTCACTAGGGGGTTCGCTAGGCGAGCGTTCGCTAAGCAAATGAGCCAGCGAGCATGATAGCAAATCGTGATTTTGTACGGTGAGGGTGGTTCTGTCGTTTTGTAGTATCCCTTGAATTGTGACCAATATAGATATGGTGATTAGTGGTGAAGAGTGTATACTTGACATTAAAAGGTGAAATTATGTAGTGAGTGAAGTTAGTTGAAATAAGTAGATTGAGGTGTGAGATATGTATGGGGTATGGTGATGTGATCAGGGGATCGAGTGCACCTTGTGTGCTTGAGTTCATTTGTTGTGCATTTGGTGTTATGCATATCATGGTGGTTGGTGGGACGAATCATTGCTCAAGAGGAGTGTATGTGATTCATCCGTACTCCATTGCGGAGAATGGTGGGGATAGATCATGGCCAAGGACGGGTGTATGTGATCTATCCGGGGTTCGATTGAATGAACCAATGAGTCGGTACCGCATGCATGGTGTTGAGTTGCATAATTGCATTATGGTGTATTGTGTTGATGTTGGACAGTAGGTCGTGTTTGATGAATGTTGGGTGATGAATTATATGATTACTACCTTTATTTTATGTACTGTATTACCGATAATTTTGATCATGTTTTTTTTCACCCCTTTGTTGTTGTTGTGGTTTGTGCTTCTTCGGAAGTACAAATAATCCAGGTACTTAGCTAGCTTGGATAGAGGTGTGCGAGTCG